AGGCAGGTGGGTCGGGACTCCCGGAGGAGGTCCGGGACCGGGTGAGGGGGGCAACATTTCTGGCGATGCGGTGACCGGGAGCGAGTGGAAGGACCTCGGTGACCCTCCAGAGGGGTCGGAGGTTTCACTGGTTTAATGTTTTACCGTGAGGCAGGGAGGGATGTTTTCTCGCAGCCCCAACGCGTTTCTGAAGTGGCCATACGGCGACAGCTTCCGATTTTTCCCTTTTGCTGCTTTTTTCCTGTTTTTCTAGATAAAATACTTATTTTGCGGGAGGCCCCTTTCACATTGTCCGTAAGTGAAACTATAAAAAAAACAACACGACTACAAAAAAACGAGGAGGAGAAGATGGAAGAAGCAGAAGACGATGACATGGCACATGGCGACTTAGGAAATGGGCTTGGAAGAAGACCTGGAGGTGTTTATGAAGGGGAAAATTTACACAACTCCTATCCAGTTAGATCCAGGAAAGGAACTGGAAAGGTTTGCACATCTCTCTTGTCAGCAAAGAGAGTGGAAGAAAGTGATGCTGTAGCTCTTCCTGCTTCAAAAAGAAACAGTTTTTATGATGGATCATCCAAAAAGCCTGTTGCTACTTTCACACGACAAAATAGCTGTAGTAAGAGTAATTTAAGAGGTAAGTGTTCCCTGTGATAAAAAAATCTTGTGGGCAAAACTGAGCAGTTGAGCTGCTTTGCAACGTGTCATTAAGTTTTATTCAAACTCCTTGCCAAAACACTTTGAAATCTCTGGAGGATTCCAAGAAGCTGGGATCCAGCGCAGCCTCTCAGGTCAGCTGGTGCAGCTGTGTTCCAAAAAGAGATGCTCCATGCCATGAAGGCAGCAGAGGAGTCTCTTTTTCTAGATCTTCCTCCCAAAACGTTAGCAGAATAGCTTTTCAGTGTATGAGGCTGTGGCCCTTTCTAGTGTAAAATCACCATTTTTAAAGTGTTTAGTTTTGCTTTTGAAAGGGACATTTAGCGAAGAGTGTCTTGTGGTGGGGAACAGTATTGCTTTTTATTCCTGAATGCATAAATGAAATTTAATCGCATTACTTGGATTCCTGGTTTAAGTGTGTCTTCCTAGAAATTGTGTCTAAAGTTTATGGCTCAGTACGCAAAGCCCTGTTTGCCATTTAGTTGAACATCGTGAAAAGGCATACTCTTGAGGTTAAGAAGTTATTTTTAGAACCTACACATCTCTATTCTCTTGGTGCTGGCATTCATTTTTTTGTGAAGACAGCACTGCTTTAAACAAAACCAAATATAGACAATGCTGTGCATTATACTTTTGCTGCTTCCCCTCATATTTTTAGCCATTTTTAGTATTTCGATCGAAGTATTTCCATGTAACTTGCTTATTTCTTTCCTTTAGAACAACTGCCCACTATCTTCTCTGCAAACCACAGCAGGCTAAGCCATGGAATTATTATTTATTGGTTTCAGCAGTATAAAGATGTTAGGAGAGCAGTGTAATTCCTTTCGGTTTCACTCTCCTTCTTCTGGTCTCCGTGTGATGCTTGTATTAGATCTAGATCTTTCACACAGCAATAGCCATGAAAGAATGGCTGAACTCCATGTGACCTGACTTTGATTTCATAGGAGGCTGCAACTTAGCATAACCTCTATGATGCTCAGTTTAAGAAAAACAGTACCAGTAGTAACCTCTTTTTTTAGAGAGATATTGCATAGTATAGCCTGTTACCAGACTTGATCCTCATCCCTTGAAAATTGCCCCTACTTCTAAATAGTGCTAGCTACCATTGAGAAAAGTTGCATGCAATCTGAAAAGAATCTAAAAATTAAAGATGGCAATTTTTATTTATTTTTTTAAGAATTTCTGAAATAATCATCCTTATTTTAGTTCTTGTTACAACTGCCTTTTTTGTCCCGTTTCACTTTTTTGTGGTACATTGTGGTACATTGTGGTACAATGTGTTTGAGTTCAGCATTTACATATTTCTTAAAAATGTTTATTAGCTCCAGAATTAAAAAACTCAAAGATGAAAATTCTGCATGTTACCTATTTTCTGGGTAAACCAAATTCTTATGTTTTCTTTTGTAAATATTATAGTATCTCATAATGTAGTATCTCCTATCAATCCTGCAGAATCTCATACTGAAGCTTCAAATGAGGAACTAAAGCAACAACTTTGGGCAGCTCTAGAGGTTAGTAACTGTGCCAAGTGTGCTGCTCTTGAAATCTGCATTTCCTTTTAATGTAGCAAAATAAAGCAGTGTTAGTTAGCTGACAATCATGTCAGGTCCACAGTATTGGATGGTCAGATTCTTGAAATTAGAGTGGTAGTTGGAAGCCAGGAATTCGGAGTGTAAGCTGCAGTTTACTTTCTGCGTTATTTTTTTTCTGATGGGGGGAGAAGTATTTTTAAAGATGTAGAGAACATTAAAAAGACTGTACTCATTTTCTAGCAGTTTGTGGCGGTTTTTTTTATTAGGCTTTGGGGCCTGAAGATCTGCAGTGTAAACAGAATAGTCCTGGGAGTTTTAATCTGCTTTTTTTGTTTCAAAAGATATTTAATTCAAGCATTTTAATTTTACTGTGGTTAAACATGTTGATATGTTTACATCAGTCCAAACAGAAAAAGTAGGGTGGTCTCACATGTACACACTGCATCTGCATTGTGTTTTTTTAACCTCAGGATGGCTGAGGTTAGGCCCATGGGAGGTCATTTTCAAGTTATCTCAGCATGAAGAACCTTCAGTGAACAGCAAGTTCCAGTATCGAGGAACTGCACTAATTTTTACTTAGATAAAACTGATAAATTGCCACTCCTCCCAGGTACAATTTCAGTATCAATTGCTCAAGTAACAGAGTTAGAAGAGCTATGAGGAATAGCTTTGTATGACCACCAGTGAACAACTGAGTGACCTACATAGGGGTTATGGAAAGATAAGCGTACAAAGCAGTAAATTTTCTTCTAACTCTGAGGAATTGAAAAACTGCTTTCTTCTGAAGGGAGAGTGCTGCACAAAGATGTGATTGGCATGTACCTGGAGCAGGAACCTGTTCTGTTGTTGTTTTGTTCTGGACAAGTAGTGTTTTTGATCTAACAGCTCTGACATGATATTCACACTAGAGTATGGATATGTTGTATATTTATAATATGTCATATTAATATAGCTTTTATAATTTATTTTTGTAATATGCACTTTGCAAATATAGGAAAATTGTATTCTGTCCTGCTTACTTATTTTAAAGCTCCAGACTCTTATTGATATTCCTTAGCAAGGCAGAACTACAGTGGTTTGTTTTCCAAATACACTGGAAGAGAACAAAAAGAATAAAAGTTATATGTATTTTTCTATAAGGATTTTGTGCTAGCATGTGCTGTTAACATTTCTTCATCATGAGCAAGTTATTAGTCAGAAACAAATCATATACCATGTAGAAAAAGGAGATTCTTTCTTTTTGAAGAGGGCAAATTTACGTTGGTGTTACAGTTAGGTTTTAACAGTAAAAACCTTGGGTTTTACTCAGTGTATCTATTTTATTTTGC